AAAGGGGTTGGGTTCTTCATTTGATTCTCAGCTTGGTTGTATGGAGGTTCAGTCAGGCTGGTAGGAGAAATTTTAATTGTAGAGAATGTACACAAACCCTTTTAGAAAGTCTGAAAGTTTTTACTATAGTACTTGGCTAAAGGCAGCCTTGTCCCCTTAGTTAAATAAGTTAGAGTAGAAACTAAGAAATGTAAGGAGTTTAACTAACTTGTTTACACATATGGTCCTAAGACTAACCTTTGTTCTACTACAGGTGCTTAATTGCTTTCTACTCAAGAGGTCCTCAATGTCAATTACCCTCTAGTAATGTTAACTCAAGCCTTTGTGAATTAATCATTACTGAATAAATGTGAGTCTTGCTAGCTAGTTGAGGCCACGGCTGCAACAAAGTGACCTAGATGCTGGGCCGGACTGACAAGCACAATATCTGAGTCACTGTATGCTATTCATCCATCATTGAGTCAAGGTTTGCAGGACAGACCCCCTCATGATAGCTGTTGGTGTATAGCAGAGATTCTGATTGTGTACATCAATTTTGTATCCTGAATCTTTGCTGAATTTATTTACCAGTTTTAGGAGCTTTTTGGATCAGTCTTTAAGGTTGTCTAAGTATACGGTCATATCATCAGCAAACAGTACAGTTTGACTTCCTCTTTACCAATTTGGATGCCCTTTCTTTCTTTCTCTTTTCTGTTTGCTCTGGCTATAACTTCCAGTACTATGTTGAATAAAAGCTCATACATTTTTATCTGGTAACTACTGCATTTTAGGAATGCATTCAAATGAAATCTGCACACCTGTTTATCATCATTTTATTATAAGAGCAGAAAATTTTAAACAAAACTACATATCTAGTAATAGAGAAATTGTGAAGCAAATTGCTCTATTATTATGATAAAATATACAACCATTATAAATTATTATTTTCACTGGGTGCAGTGGCTCATATCTGTAATCCCAGCACTTTGCAAGGCCAAGGCAGGAGGATCAGTTGAGCCTAGGAGTTTGAGACCAGCCTAGGCAATATACTGAGACCCCATTGCTACAAAAAATAAAAAATAAAAAAATAGCTGTGCTTGTTGGCACAGACCCGTGGTCCCTGCTACTCGGGAGGCTGAAGAGGCAAGACTACTTTAGCCTGGGAGGTAGACACTGCAGTGAGCTGTGATTGCACCAGTGCACTCCAGCCTGGGCAACAGAGTGAGACCCTGTCTCACAAAATAATAATAATAGCTATGAAGATGATGATGTGTCTCATAAAATAATAATAACTATGAAGAAGAAGAAGAAGAAGAATTATTACTAGGGTTATTTGAAAAACCTGTATGTGTGCAGTTTAAATTTAAAAATCTATTTATTACATTTATTGAGATTTAATTCACTTAACATATAATTCGACCACTTATATTGTACAATTCAGTGGTTTTTAGTATATTCACAGAGTTATACAACCATTACCATACTGCAATCAATTTTAGAACATTTTCATTACTCCAAAAAGAAACCCGATACATATTAGCAGTCACTCTCCATTTCTGAATTTCATATAAATTAAATCATACAATATGTAGTCTTTGAAGAGAAAATATTTGCAAATCAACTATCTGATATGTGTTTGGAGAATATATAAAGAACTCTTACAATTTGAGAATAAAAAGAAAAACAATGCATGTTTCTGTGCTGGCAAAGGATTTGAATAGACATTTTTCCAAAGAAAATATACAAATGATTAATAAACACATGAAAAGATGCTCAACATCATTAGCCATTAGGGAAATGCAAATCAAAACCAAAATGAGATACCATTTAACATCCACTGGGATGGCTACAATACAAAAGACAGGTAATAACGTGTTGGCAAGGATGTGGAGAAATAAGAACCCTGATACATTGCTGTTGGAAATGAAAGGTGCAGTTACTTTGGAAAACCGTTTCAAAATCCCTCAAAATGTTAAACATATAATTACCATATGATATAGCAATTCTACTCCTGGGTATGTAACCAAGGAAAATGAAAACATATATCCACACAAAAACTTGTGCTTAAATGTTTATATCATTATTCATAATAGCCAAAAGTGGAAGCAACCCAAATGTCCATGTATTGATGAACAGATAAATAAAATGTAGTATATCCATATAATGAAATACTGTTTGTCAACAAAAAAATACATGTTACAATATGGATGAACTTTGAAAACATTAGAATTGAACTAATGGAGATAGAAAGTAGAAAGTTGGTTATCAGAGGCTGAGAACGGTAGTAGGAGGCTAGGCAGGAGGTAGGGATGGTTAATGTTAATCAGTACAAACAAAAGTTATAAAGAATGAATAAGGCCTACTATCTGATAGCACAACAGAGTGTTTAAAGTCAATAATAACTTCATTATACATTTTTAAATAACTCAAATAGTTATAATTGAATTATTTGTAACTCAAAGTATAAATGCTTGAGGAGATGGCTACCCCATTTTCTATGATGTGTCTGTTTCATATTGCATGTCTATATCAAGACATCTCATGTACTCCATAAATACATACACTTACTATACACCCATAAAAATTAAAATGAAAAAAATAAAATCAGAAAAATAAAAATAAATAAATAAATAATACTGTAAAACTATAGCAGTCAAGACAGTGTAGCATTCACTGTTGTTCACCGCAGTACTAGAAGACCTAGCTAGGAACAGTCAGACAAGAGACAGAAATAAAGGGCATCCAAACTGGAAAGGAAGAAGTCAAATTATCCTTGCTTGTAGATGATATGATCTTACATTTGTAAAAACCTAAAGACTCCACCAAAAAACAACTACATAAACACATTCAGTAATGTTGCAGAATACAAAATCAACATGTAAAAACTAGTGGCATTTTAAGATGGCAACAGTGAACAATCTTAAAAAGAAAATAAGAAAGTAATTACATTTACAATAGCTACAAATAAAATTAACACCTAGGAATTAATGAAAGAAGTGAAAGATCTCTACAATGAAAATTATAAAACACTGATGCAAGAAATTGAAAAGTAAACACATAATATGGAAAGATATTCCATGTTCATGGATTGAAAGAATCAATATTGTTAAAATGTTCATATTACAGAAAGCAACCTGCATATTTAATGCAATTCCTATCAAAATACAAATGACAAAGGAGATATCATCTCACCCCAGTTAACGTGGCTTTTATTTAAAAGTCAGGCAATAACAAATGCTGGCAAGGATGAAAAAAAAAAAAAAAACAGATAAAAAGTGGGAAAGGATATAAACTGGTCCTTCTCCAAAGAAGACATACCAATGCCAACAAACATGAAAAAATACTTAATATCTTTAATCGTTAGAGGAATGCAAATCAAAACCACAGTAAGATGCCATCACATACCAGTCAGAATAGCTACTATTAAAAAGTCAAAAAATAACAGATATTGGCAAGGTTGCAGAAAAAAGGGAACCCTCTTACACTGTTGGTGGGAATGTAAATATACAACCACCATGGAGTAAAGTTTGGGAGTTCCTCAGAAAACTAAATATAGAGCTACCATATGATCCAGCAGTCCTACTCCTAGGTATATGCCCAAAAGAAAGAAAATCAGTATATTGAAGAGATACCTGCCTTCCCATGTTTATTGCAGCAGGATATACAATAGCCAAGATTTGGAAGCAACCTAAGTGTCCATCAACAGATGAATGGATAAAGAAAATGTGGTACATATATACAAAGGTGTATCACTGAGCCATAAAACAGAATGAGATCCTGTCATTTGCAACATTGATGGAACTGGAGGTCATGTTAAGTGAAATAAGCCAAGCACAGAAAGAAAAATGTCACATGTTACCACTTATATGTGGGAGCTAAAATTAAAACAAACTCATAGAGTTCAATTTTCCCATACTTATTTGTGGGAGTTAAAAATTAAAACAATTGAACTCATGTAGTTAGAGAGTAGAATGATGATTACTAGAGACTGGGAAGGATAGTGGAGGAGTGAGTGTTTGAAGGGAATTGGGGATTGTTAATGGCTACAAAAAACAGAAAGAATGAATAAGACCTAGTATTCGCTAGCACAATAGGGTAACTATAGTCAAAAATAATTTAATTGTACATTTTAAAAGTATAATTGGATTGTTGGTAACACAAAGGATAAATTCTTGAGGTGATAGATACCCCGTCTACCAAAATGTGATGATTATGCATTGCCTGCATGTATCAAAATATCTCATGTAATACATAAACGTATATACCTACTATGTACCCATAAAAATTAAAATAAATTTAATAAACTATTTTATCCAATTTTTCATCATTATAAGTTTTTGAATAATACCACTAAATATAAATCTTTCTTCTCATTTATAATCATTTCCATAGGATAGAATCCTAGAAGCAAAATTACTGGTATAAATTTTTTAAAGGGTCATTGGATAAGGCCGAATAGTTTTCCAGAAAGTTTAACAAATAGCTACATGAGGGCCTGCTATATTCCAGATATTATTTCAGGTAGATTATATTATACCAATTTTACAAATGAACAAACTAAGATCCATTGACATTATTTTTCTAGAGTTATGGAGATAACAGGAGGCAAAGCTAGAATTCAGATTCATAATTGCTCAATTTTAAAGCTATTGTTATTTCCATGTGGATTTCAAAAATAGTATTTTTGAAGTGTCAAATTATATAGTTACTAAAGAAAATGTGGAAAATGCAAGTAGAATGTAGAGAAAATGAAAATAAATTACCCATGAATCCGCCACTTTCAATAGTTCAGTGTATTTCTTCAGTCTTTTGTGCCAAATATAATTTTGGTTGTTAAAAATAACTATAGCATTGTATGTATAATTTTATATCCTGCCTTTTTCACTTAACATTTTTCAGTGCTCATCTATAATCTTCATAAATGTAATTTTAATGGTCACATATTATTGTCAAGTGGGTATTACCATATGAATATTTACAGTTGTTCAGTTCATCTGTGAATTTCTTCTCTTCATTCCCAGGACTCACCATCTTCATCTCCCATGAAGCTTACAGAGTTAAGTGTTGGAAATCATTGTAATCTTCAAAATAAGTCACCATGTTGGACTGAAAGCTTCAAAATTTGAAAGAATTCCGTCAAATACTTGCTGTGCAAATGTTTCTGGACCTTACATTATTTAATTTGCTGACCAAAATCCAATTCGGTATTTGGTAGCAGTTAATTCAAGCCAGTTTTTTTTGTTGTTGTTGTTTCTTCATTTCCCCTGCCCCAATCCATGAAAGCCTAAATGTAAAATATATCTTTTCATTCATCATATCAGGTAAAAGGGAATTCAGAAAATTTCCTTGGAGTCTTTAATATTCCCACAAAGATTATTAATCACATAATAGGGCCTTTTTGGTGTTGAAGGGAACCAGGCTACATTTGCTGCTCATATGCATGTGTATTTGTGAACATATACCGCATATCTATACAAAATTCTGCTATAGTATGAAAATCAAGGCTAAAAACCTGATTATGATTTTTATATAAATAGCAACTTAAGTATTTACTAGACTTTGAATCATCACTATATCAGGTATCTAAATTTTGGGATGATGATTGAATACACTGACCAAGGTCCTCAAATTGGGACTTGAACAACAATGTAAAACCTATTCCATCACAAACATCCCTGAAAACACCACAGCTAACCCATAAGATGAAAATCAGGACTTACACTTATTAAACATAATAATCAGTATTTTAAAGATGTCTAATGTCAGACTGCAGAATTCTCATATTACTTTTATTCATTTATCTGCTACCTAGTTTTATTTTATCCTTTATGAATTACTTTTATGTTGAAAGAAAATCTATAAGCCTAAGTTATGGCCCATAGGTTTTGTTAAGGGTTTTCAGAGTGATTTTTGGGTTTAATTTTAATACCTTTCATAAGGGTAAAATTTTACAGCTGACAGCCTGAAGATTAGCACTAAAGAGCTGTGTTTTCATAGCAGGGATTATTGTACAGACAGGGATAACCAAATAGTAATATGCCAATTCTTTGTTCCTTTGTTTTAGCTTCAGTGGTAGCTAAGCCATTAAGACAGTTTGCATTGATTTCCCCATTTATTTATAATCAGTCTTTCTTTTAGTCCTAGTGCCTGAATCAATGAGTGTGAATACTAGTACTGCTTCTTTATAATAATAATATCTTCAGAGTATTGATGTCTTTAATTTTTTCAAACAGCAGTCTACTGCCCAGCTACTGACAATAAAAGCTCCAACTCTTACAGGGATCAGTGGGAATTAGAGATATCTTCAGATATCAATTAATTGAGCTTCTAGAGGGATGGTTTGGTTTACTAACTTATCCCCGCTGAAATATTTTTGAGTAAAAAAGAGTTGCCTGCCACAATTTAGTGTTGAGGTTCCAGTGGAGCTGAGATAGTGAATAATCCAGCTACTTAAAACAACAACAAAAGCTGTTGATCTGGACCCCTAGGTAATTTTGACCAAGGTGAGACTTTTGGCATAAATTAAATGGATTGTGGTCAGCATTACATTTGATAGAATACTAGGCATGACTACATTTATTAGGGCCAAGGACTGTTAAACTCAGAAGCTAAAAAGCAGCCTAGAAGACTATGCACACGCTGGGTTTCATGATCAAGTCTTATACATTCAGATGGAAAAACATTTCCCCTTCCACTCTTTCTCAAAATACTCTCTTGTTTGAGTTTCTCTTGATAGTTTATTTGGCCATCCCCATGGTCTTATGATAGACAAGCTTTTTCTTCTATAGATATAGATATGCACCTGTTTCTAAATGTATGGCCTTTACTTCCTACACAGCCAGTAGGCCTCAAAGTAATCTTCCTCTTTCCCATGGATTATCTTCTGTCAAGCATTCAGGCAGAGCAGCTGTTAACTATGATTTAAAGTCAGAAAAACATCAAGAAATTATTTAATGCATAGGGTGTATCAGCACTCAACTGCCACAGAAGTGAAGTCACAAAAGATAGTGTCAGTTAACTATAGGAAGTTCTGGAAAGGTAAAGCTCAGGAAAACTATAATGCAAAGCTGATTGTTTAATGTCTTACAGATTTACACTGTCTTTAAAAGGCCAAATAAATCAGGGTTTTACCAGGGAGCTCAGAGGAAAGTAGAAAACCTATTCCTATCTTAGCATTTTGGTCTCATTGGTTTATAGACTCTGATGATATCTCTATCCATGGATCATCTGATAATTGAATAATGTACATAGATACCCAAATGGTTGATTACTGATCGAGAATACAAAGTTTTGGTTAGTAATTAGCACACCCTGTTCTGGCTTCTCTGCTTGGTTTTCTTTGGAGTCCTGTCCAGTAACCTCTGTGGAATCTCATTACTAACTTACCCCCCCTGAAATATTTTCTCTTTGATATTCATTTTCTAATCTTTGATATTCATTTTCTCCATTTGCAAAATGAAGATACTCATTGTTATGATCCTATTGCTGAAAGGTGCTATGTAGCATTCTAGTGCTCTTATATGTCTTTAATTATAGGACTGGAATGAAAAGTTTAAACATAACAGTATTTCTAAGCAAAATTGTGTGCTCCATTCTTTTGTCCATGCTTCATTGCTGATTTATTCTTGCAAAACTTCGAGCACTTTGTTAATGTTATTTCATTCATTCCAACAGTGTCCTCAGAAAGAGCCAGAATAAAAAAATCTTCCCCATGGTACAGCTGGAAAAATTAAGGGGAAAAACAATTAAGTGGTCCCCAGTCGAACACAGCTGTCTTATGCAGGGCTCAAAGTTATCATGTCCAGTACACTGTTAAAGTGACTTGGCTTCCCAGTACTGGAATTATCATGGAGCAGTTAGAATTTTGAGAGTGCTTACAATAGGATCACATTCTGAAAGAATCACATTTTGTCAAAAACCTGAAAAGTATGCAATTTGTACAACTCTTACTGGTGATAGGAATGCAATATGTGCCTCTTTCCTCCACTGGCCCCATGTGACACATATCTTTCACACTATGTGACATCAACCAGTGCCATTACCTCCTGTGGCATCCATAGAGCCCACTCTCAGGGCAGACATTGCCAAGGTAAAGAATGCTCTCCATGTTTATGCCAAATTGCACAAAGTATAGACATTGAGGTTAATGGAGATTTAAGCACAATTCTAGAAAGTAAGTTTTAAGAATATTAAGTATACATTATTGTAACATGAACCTAAAACTTAACAGGACCCAAAGTCATAGGAAGGTAACAGTCATTGAAAGCCTATTCTTTTCACCTCTCATCACATATATCTACATACACCTATGCACATGTACACACACACACAACCCACAATTTCTCCAAAGCGGAAGCAAATACTTTAAAAGAATGATTCTCTGCCTTCTCCTTTTAAAAAAAAGAGTCTAAGAATCACAGCATGTGAAGAACATTCCATTTATACATTCCAGAATCTCTGCTCTCAGAGTAGCTAAGAGATTCAGTACAAAAGATGTTCTGTGCAGAAGCACAGAGGGCGTCTAACAAGATTGCCAGGCCCTTGCACAAGATCCATATTCTTAGAAAGTTAATGAGTTCCATCTAGCTAGGAATTGGTTGACGAGATATGGTACATGTGCATTTCTTTAACCATAGCTGTAATGTACCATACTAAATTGTAGCCTCTTGCATGTGGGTATTAGATAATATAATAATGAATGGGTGGCTCCTAATAGCATGCAACTCATGACTGTTTAATTCTCCAAAAGGGCTAGGTCTGTTTCCTGCACAGTGTTCAAGATCATTAAATATGTTCTTTGTACCAAGATGGTACACAGCCATTGGCAGAGTGAGTTAAAACCAACAATGAATTCAATATAGCAAGAAATAGATTGTTAGTAGAGAATGGCACTAAAGGAAAAAAAAAAAAACAATTAGATAAGATGCATTCAAGGAATAATTACTTTCACTCTGCAGGCTAAATCAGTGAAGGAACACAGAAGAAAAGCTGGCAGTGGGTGTTGGTAATATATGAACTATATTGGAGTGCCAGAAAAGGAGACCTTAGTAGTTAAGCTCAAGTTACCAATTTGCTACATATTTTTCCCACCAATCTGCTCAAAGTGATTGTATATAGTATTCTTAAAACCATGTGTCTTTCTGCAGAAATATTGACAAATGCTGACCAGCTTTATCTTCCTATATCCTTTATTAAAAGTGTATACATATAATTTTAGGGGTTTTTCCTACATTGTGGCTTTGTTAAATTATGTTGGCAAACCCTAAAGTTTCAGACTACTCTAATGGAAGTTTCTATATATCTAATTTCATTGGGGTATAGTGACGTTTATTCACTCAGGTTGATTGGTATGTGTGGTATGTAGACTCCTCTGTAATATCTCACCTTCTGAACAGCCCCCTTCCGTGTGTTCAGTATTTCTGTCTTATGTTCCTACATAAATTTGAATTGGGAAATTAGCTGCAACGGCTTTTAGATAGAATGCTGAGCAGTCTGATGGCACTTAATCGTTCAGTCTCTACTCAGCCTCACACATCTTTTGCCTTTCACTCTGCCATTGTGATAAAAGGAAAAAGAAAGAACTTTTTTTATGTGCCTAAGGGTGAGGTAAACTCTGATTTGCTTTTTCTTACACTGAAGACTATTGTCCTATTCTCCAAATGCATGTCACCTGAAAAAAAGACACATAGAGGGGAACAACAGACACTGAAACCTATTAGAGGGCAGAGAGTGGGAGGAGGGAGAGGACCAGAAAAAATAATTAATGGGTACTAGACTTAATACCTGGGTGATGAAATAATCTGTACAACGAACTCCTGTGACACAAGTTTACCTATATAACAAACCTGCACGTGTACCTGTGGACTTAAAAGTTAAAATAAGCATAAACAAAACAAAACACACTTAAAAAGAAACAGTAGACCACTTATTCTGAAGTCATACATTACCCTCAGAGAAATATTTGAGGAGACCCTCATTAAGTAAGCCCCAAATAAGGTTTCCCTCAATTGATGCACCATTTGCAGAAAAAGTTCTTTTCAGACAGAATTTAGAAAGCCCCCAATTAGCCAACCAAGAAGGCAAAAACATTGAAAATGCAGTACATTGAAAGCTGAAGTTTGGAACAGTCATTGCTGACTTTCTGACTAATAGAGAACTTGAATCATTTAAGAGAGGCCCAATCTATAGAGGTCAGGCTTAATACAAAACAAGAAAAAAAAACTTTTATTCCAGCTTTGCTTATTTTTTTAAAAGTACTTACATTTTCCTAGATAAAGACCTTAAATATTTCTGCATAAAATCCCATTTCATTTATTGCAATGAATCAGTTACAAACAGCTCATACTATAAAGTGTTACTGGAAAGAGGTCCCAATACAGACCCCAAAAGAGGGTTCTTAGATGTCATGCAAGAAAGAATTTGAGCTGAATCCATAAAGTGAAAGCAACTTTATTAGAGAAATAAAGAAATAAAAGAGTGACTACTCCATATGAAGAGCAGCCCTGAGGGCTGCTGGCTGACCACTTTTATGGTCTTTTCCTGATTATATGGTAAAGAAGGGGTGGATTATCTATGAATTTTCAAGAAAAGAGGTGGGCAATTCCAGGAACTGAGGGTTCCTAGCATTTTTAGACCATATAGTGTAACTTCCTGACATCGCCATGGCATTTATAATGGTGCTGATGGGAGTGTCTTGTAGCATGCTAATGCATTATAATTAGCACATAGTGAGCATTGAGGATAACCAAGTCATTTTCACTACCATCTTGGTTTTGGCTGGATTTGTCTGGCTTCCTTACCACATGCTATTTTATCAACAAGGTCTTTGTGACCTGTATCCTGTGCTGACCTCCTACTCATCCTGTGACTTAGAATTCCTAACCACCTGGGAGTGCAGCCCAGTAGGTCTCAGTCTCATTTTACCCAGTCTCATTTTACTCAGTCTCATTTTACTCCATTCAAGATGGAGTCACTCTGATTCAAATGCCTCTGACATATTTTCCCCCTTCTTTTTATAAGAGAACACTTAATCCTAAGGTTTGTAGAGCAATGAAGATTCATCTTCTGTAACTTTTTCAGGTTGAATAGGGGGTGATGATATTACTGTCTAACTATTAGGGTCTCCTGTAGTTGGGGTAGAGAGGAGCTCAGTTAGAAAGTGTCAGTATGGTGAATGCCATTTATTGCTCTGATAAAAGATGATATCTGGCATATAAAAAGGTGCTCAATTTAAAGAAAACATTTAGTAAGCTTATCCTGCATTTTTACAAAAGGGCACAACAGCAATACATTCCACAACAATAAAGCAAAGTAAATAATACTATCCCGAGTAAACTAAATAAGGAGGTATTCCAGGAACTGGGAAACCATTGGAGCCAAGCTGATATGGGGCTGCCAACTGATTCCAGTGTGCCCAGGCTTAGAATATAGATCCAGATTTTTCACTACTCTCCCTCTTGTTTCTTCCATCCAGCAGTCAGAGATTACTGATTGGTTCACAGGAATAAGCAGGTTAGTCTAAATTGCGGGGGAAAAAAAATTGAAAAACAACCTATGAGACTAGAATCTAATAACAGGTGTATCATAGCTCGTGAAAAATATTTTTTCACTCTCCAGTTTCCCATTTTTACTAAAGAAAAAATTATAATAGCACTAATTCTTTTGTAAAAATAAGCCTTAGTTTTATAATTGGCCTGAATATTTGTATAAAGTGCAGCAAGAATAATTTTTTAACATAGGCTTTTAAAATTGACTTTGGTGAAACTCTGTTCCATAAAGAATCTCAGATATGAATGTTCTTAAAGCTGAGCCCAGCCATGGGTTTGTACCCTCAAATACCAATGAGGTGAGCAAATTCCTCTCCTCTTGAGTTTCCAAGATAACTTGAAGCTACTGGGCCTATCAGAAAGTCACATTCTTTACTTACCACAGGTTAGGAACCATGTACAGGGGCTGTGCAGATAAGGCATAAGACCAATTTTACCAAGGGGTTTTTATTGGCTGTATAAGTTAAGTTTGATTTCTTAAAAAGAAGTATGCCATTCCAGTCAAAGCCTTGGTAAAACCAGTTACTCCAATTGTTTTCTGCTGCAAAAGAAAACATTCCTATTGCACTTATGCAAATACTATATTGCCATAAATTAAGAATACTCACAAATAGTTTCCAAATTCTAGAGAAATTAGATACAGAGATAAAAACTGTAAAGAGCTCAAAAAACCCTTCCTCTACTCTCAAAAACAAAACAGTGGATCAGCAACATTTTAAGCAAAAAGTTTAAAAAGATTATTTCAGACTTTTAGTTTAGACCATATAGTTAACTCCTGTTCTGCTTGATATTCATGAACGTTTTAGCTTTCCATGAGAGTCTTGAAAGTTTTTCAAGGTTTTCAAGGTTATCATATCTTATGATAACCTGGGATTCCATTTTGTTATTCAGCCAAACTGATGACGCAAATATTTTTAAAAGGCAAAAACCTTTACTCATAAAGAGTGAAGACTTAGCTTTCCAAACAACCTGTCTCTTTCATTTCCCTCTTTCCTGCAGTTTATTTAAAAGGCAAATAAAAGTTTTTATTATTCTTTAATATTACATGAAAATCTTGTTCAAGAGAGAAAGCCAAATTTCACTTTTTGCATTAGTGTACTATTAATGTAAACCCAAATTTTTAATAAAACCTGATAGACAAATCTACCCAATTTTAATATTTGGCCATAAGGTTAACATTTTCATTAACCTTTTATAACCCTTTGCAAATTTTTGTTAAAAACCGATCAGTGCTCTATGAAAAACCTGTTGTGCTTTTATTCCAATGTTCAATTTATGGAAGACCTAAATAATAAGCCTTTAATTTTAGCCAATATGTTCACACACAGGATTTCTTTCACAAAATTAATTTTTCACAAACCTTCCATGACTTTCTGAAACTTCAACTTTATCCTATCTAACTTAAAATAATCCCGTAACCCTTTAGGCAGAAAAAAAATCCACATTCCCATGCCTTTTTGTAATCTTTTACCAAAAACATATTTCACTATCCTTTCACACATAGCATGTAAAACTGTTTTTATTTCCCAACAGTTACTAAAGTCATATAAGCTAAAGGCATACCAGTTTTTATTTTTCCGATAAAATATTTTATTTAAGCTTTTTTATAAACCAATTAGTCAAAGCTCTTTCATATTATGCACATATCACATATAAATACACAGACACACAGAAGATTCAGTAGTTATAAGAGTTTTCATTTTCCCATTTCTTAATTGGATTACTAGCTTCTGGGTGGAGCCCTTGAAGGAACAGGGACAGGAAAGCATTCCAGTTTCTACACCCTAATAAGCAGGCACAGCTGGAAGGCAAAAACAAATCCCCAAAAATTAACGGTCCCATTTTTATGCTGGATCCTGGATCCCCAAAAGAGAAAGCTACAGAACAAGACAGTACAACAATTTTATCATGTGTTTTATTGCAAAGCAATCCAAATCCAATTAGCCTAGGCTGTGATTAGCCTATCCTCCACGAGAGACTTATCTCTCAGTAGGCATAGGGACATCTCCATATCTTCTGGGTGGCCAAGAGAATGCTACTCTGATTCAAATATCAAGGAGCTGAGTAATCCCCATAACTTTTATTAGCTATCTTCAAAACTATATTTCCTACCTAGTTATTACACACAAAAGCTCTCTTATAATGCAAAATAACTTCTGATACCCCCAAAAGTAAAAAAAGAAATGTCAGGTAACACAATGCAAAATAGAGCAGAACCTTAGATTTTGAGAGGAATCTCTTTGCTTATAATTCCTGGGGTTTCACAATGAAAATAGAGGTTTTTCTTAAAATGGGGACGGTGGAGCCTCCTCTGTTTTTCCCAAGAAGTCCCAGCCTGTTAGAACTTGAACAAACTGACTTTTAGCCATAAAATT